TAGGATATCTATCCCAAGTATCTCTTTCATGATCAAATGTACCCTCTCGATCCAATCCTCCATCGAGAGATATGCAACACAGTTATACCACTGTTAGCAATGCAATAAGGACCTATTGCGAAGTCCAAAAGTGAACATTACTAGAATTTAGGCGAGCAACAAACTTGCTCAATCCACCACTCTTAATCCGTAGGAAATTAAAATTCCAATAAATTTTGATGATCTCAACCATTTATCCACCCCTGACTAGGCCTACTCTCTTTTCCATCTACCAAAAGTACCATTAGTCTGGTACCACCAGCTTCTGTCTGCATCCAATACTTAATTTGGAGCATCGTCAAAAGCTAACCCTGCAGCTGAACCAATGCAGTACCAATTAGTGATAAACTTACCGATTATAAAATCAACCGGAAATTCCAGTCATCGAAAGTCAACTTACTATAGCCTTTTTCATACATACCGTGCACCGCTTCCTTATGATAGGTGATCGGTTTCACCATCCTATCTTCGACACACCCTACTTACTTAATATAAGTAGTGTCAATTTGACTCCTTGTTTCATTCCAAGCAAATATGAAGCTTTTCCCATTCTCCATATAATCATTAATGTCCGAGGAACAACAAATTGTTGCAAATTAGGACCCTAAAAATTTTCACATTTTATTCTCAGTGTAGAAACTTAGATTCCTCCTCTAAGTGCAACACCAGCAACCCCTCCAAATGACATTCTCATGAATCATGTCTTAATTACGGATAGACTGATAAATATTTAATCAGTCTACCCTCCTCTCTTGACGACATTCAAATAAATATCCACCAACACGAACTCCTCCTTTCGACTTGGTGGTCGCTTCAGAAATTTCTTTAAAGATATTTTACACCTCCAACACCTTTCACAAATCATGGTGGCATGACAATGGTCTTTATCTACCACAACCCCATGGATATAATTATAATAACATCCACCAATCTCAGGATGTTGCAAAAAAAAAAAAAAAAAAAAAATCCCTATCTAGTGTGAAGTATATCAAACTAATCGTTTTAAGATAGTTGACACGTATCGATAGTTTAACTATCCCATACCATATAACATACCATAATGCTACATGTCCAAGTCCAAAAGGTTGGCTAAACTCATGTATATTTACCACATCCTATGACCATATGCTCACGAATCCTAGCGCACATAGCGCTACTACTCCATGCTATAAATACAATAGTTGACGGATCACATACGTGTACCCCAACCAAAACATAATCCCAATCCAGACTAATAAAATAAAAATAAAACACGTAAGATACATAAAATGACAAAAATGAAACACATAAGACACACAACCTAAAACAAAAATATAATTCTACTTAAAACTTCGTTCCTTCCAAAAAAGTAAGTCTCTTTTGGACCCAACCTTACCAAATTGGGTTCACTATTTCATTTTCTAGTTTCGTAGGTAATCATCCAACCTCGAAACCTATCCATTAAACATAACTTAAAAGCAACCTTCAGTCGTCTAAGCAATAACCAAAGCTTAACTCTTATCTTCCTTATATGCGAAGAACAAACCGTCTAACGTGGCTTTAATAAGCAACTTAGAATGTTACAACCTAATCCCCATACTCTCTAGAATGTGATATATAATCTGGTATTTCGTTCTGCGAAGAACTCCATCCGATCTCTAAATTCCTAAAGAGTATCTCATTCATATTTCTCTTAGAGATGCTATGTAAATTGACTATATATAAATTGGTTCACTCCAACTCTACTTGTATCCTTCATTCCACTATGAGTGAATCAAAATCATCCTCGTGTAATCCTTCATCCCGAAGATTTAGTATCCTTGATACTCTGAAATCTCCACCCTTAGGATCCTCTTCGGACTCCTACTCCCCACTGACCTCCTAGTTGAGATCAACTGAAGTCGTGTTGATCCCGATAGGCGGCGACCTAACACATACACCTTAATCCTCTCTTGGCTCATACTTTCTAAATAATGCCAACCTCAGAATTAAAACTTTGATCCCAAGTTCTATATCTGGCAAAGAACTCGATCACACACTCCTTTACTCTTTTGGGTCTCTATCGCTTTCGCCTTGGACCCAATCCTCCCTCCTAATGTCAACCATTCTGTATCTACAGAATATAATTGACATCAGCTCCTCCAAATGAACCGTAAATAGAGTACAACGATTCCTATTATGGCTCTAAGTTTTAGAGAGACGCAATGCGGAAGTCTTATAACGAAAGACACTCCTAAGGACACTAGAACCTGGAGTGCTCTGATACCAACTAACAATTTTGCATACGGTTAACGACTGGAAGGAAATAAATTGTTTAATTTTAATTTGACAATTTAAGGTGTTATTTATGTTCTAAATTAAATTTTAGATGCGTGAGGGAGTCTTTTAATTAATAAATTGGACTCGTAGCATAGTTTGTGGCTGAGTGCTTAAACAACAAAACAATATACAAGTATTCAACCTAGCTTGCTATTGACGGATAAAGGAACTGATTTGTTAGAATTAATTTTTAGCAAATTCTTGGATAATATTATGATTTTAAATCTTATTTGAATGCATGATAGAATAGTTGATTTATTAAAACTAATTTATTCATGCTTTGGATGCTTGTTGATGAACCGTTAAATAATACATGGTTTAACTTTTGGATTTAAATTGCTGAAATAATAAATATTCTTCTGCAATTGTTTGGAATGATTTTGGATTGTAAATTACTAACATGTATTTATATGTTGTAATTTACATGGTTTTGGATTTTAAATTGCTGAAACTTAAAACACTTTTCTGCAAGGATATGGATATTTGGTTTTGGACTATAAATTCGTGCTTAGTATTTATATGTTGTAATTTATATGGATATGGAGGATTGTATGCACCGGTATGGGACGGTGGCATACTAGGTATGGTTTAGCTCAAAACGTTAATTCCTACCTTATGGATTTTAATTGGTGAACAGTTCTATCTGTTTTATCAATTATATGGATTTTGTGGATTGTATGCACCGGTATGGGACGGCATCATACTAGGGATAGACTGATTCAAAATACTCAGTCCTACCTATTTTGGAATAAGGGTACGAATTATAAAAACATAATTCTCCTTATATTTAAGTCTGTGCAGTTGAATAAGCTGAACAACTTACTGGATCTCTTATAAGTTTGTGCGGCTGAATAAGCTGAACGACTTATTAGATTTCTTATGGATGGATATGAACGGATTTTAAATATATGGTTATGGTACCATGAGATGAGCTTGAGTCTCAGACTCTTCGGTTAGGGTGCGTATATGCAGTGGATGCGTAGCCGGCTATAGTAGGTTAAGGTGTACCCTGTTAGGTCTAGGTACTCATGCCCACTTTTGGGTGCGTTTTCGCATGTTACCTTCTATTCAGGTTGAGGCCTTTACTGTAGTTCAGTGAATGTCCCTTAGTGTGGATATATATATATATATGTATGGACTAGATAGTTATTGTTGAGATATCTAGGGTGTATCTGCATATCGGGTCACTGTTTGGATTGCAGTTAGAGAAGAATTTGCATCTGGGCCTGACCCACTCTTATTTTTACAGGTGTTCGTTAGTTCCAGTCTTAGAGCTGGATCGTGCTGAGTAGATACAGGCATTCACTCCACCAATGCTGTAGGATTTTGTTTCATGTTTTAGGCTTTGGTTTTTTTTTCTTCAGTCATTTAAGTTCAGTGGGATATTTTAGGGGTCCACTAGATGGATTCCCGAGTTGTATAATTTGGAGAACGATTTGTATTCGTGAAGGATCAGTTGTAACAGAATAGTTTTATTTATTAATAAAATTTTATTCTGAGGTTTCAGTTTTTGGATTATCATTGTAGTTTCTTTTCCGCAATTTATTTATTCCTGTTTTCTTAATTGTATTCTGTGTTCGTTAACTGCTAATTGGTTTGATATCCTCGGGTAATCGGGTGTGGGCCTGGCCAACCCGCATCTGGAGATCCGGGGGTATCACATAACATAAATCTAAAAATAAACAAAACAAGAACAGGTGAATAAAACTATGAAATCCTCTATTCTAATCCGATTAAAACATGCATCATTGTTTAATTATATTATTTAAGTATCCTGGAGTCTCCTATGCATGTATAGAAACACAAATCAAAGGGAGAGAGTATGAGAAGAACTTGCCTTCAAGGTTTTGGAATGAAAACCTTAAATCTCCTTTTTCTTTGATTTTTCGGTGACTTGTGCTGCTGTCAAACCTCTGCTACTCTGTGCTAGCCCACGCACAGCTCCTCTTTTCTTCTCCTTGGGTTTGGCATCCTCTCTTAGCCAAATCTCCTTCTTCCTTTCTTTCAGTTTTCTCTCAACTCTCTGTTATTTCTCTGCCTCTTTCTCTCTCTAATAATATATATCACGTAAATAATATTTAAGCCCCATCTTCTACAAACTTAATGAATATATATAGGCCTTCACTTTAGCCCTAATCCTATATGCACTCTACTTCTGCTCATAAATATAATATATACAACTATATATAAAATATAATATATTCAACTATGTCAATACGTGATTTTATAAATATAAATATACTATATATTTATAACTATATATATATATATATATATATATATATATATATATATAGTTATACAGACTATAATAATTAATATTACTAACTATTAACTTTAATGATAATAATTATTATATTCTCCTGATATATACATAAATATCCATATATATATGTACCACCAATCCATAGGTAACTATTTGTACCCTTTTAATCTCCTATCTAAATAGTTCATGCGACCCATGGGTTTGATCCATGACTACTCTCCATAACCATTAAAATAAAATAAAATAAAACAAACATTTAAATCATTCAATTCCTAACAATTAATTACTAATCTAATCAAGTAATAGAATCCAGACTAAGTTATGCCCTCGGTGGTCTTGGTTGGCTAATTATAAGTCTCATTATTTAGGAAAAGTGTGGTTTGGCTGGGATTCTTCTATGTTTGACGTGGTTTTACTTCAAGAAGATGCTCAGGCTATGTTATTTCAGGTTAAGCATAAAGTTTCTAGATGTTGTGTCTTTATTACTGCTGTGTATGCTGCTAATAGAGCTGTGGATAGAAGCTTATTATGGGGCATACTTAAAGTTCATGAAGCTAAAGTTACTGGTCCATGGATTACTCTAGGTGATTGGAACATGGTTAGGGCTAATTATGAGAAGAAGGGAGGTAAACATGTCTCTCAAAGTTTGTTAGATGAGTTTAATGGGGCTATTTATGACATTAAAATGGAAGATTTACCAACGAATAATGGTGATTGGTCTTGGTGTAATAAGCAAGGAGTTCAAACTAGAATTAATGCTAAATTGGATAGAGTTCTAGTTAATTCAGCTTGGTTGCATTCCTTTACTGACTCTAAAGTGTATTTAACTGCTGCTTCTCTGTCTGATCATTATGGTATGGATGTTCATCAGAATTTTGTGAGCTCTCTTGGACCTAAACCTTTTAAGTTTCTAAAAATTTGGTGTATGCAAGATGAGGTTAAGGAGGTGGTGGCTACATCTTGGAACATTGGTGTCTTTGGAAGTCCTTTACATGTTTTACAGAAAAAATTGAGAGAGGTAAAAAGGCTGTGAAAGAATGGAATGGCAAGAGAGGAATGCTATCAGATCAAGTTCAAATTGCTAGAGGGAATCTGATTAAAATCCAGATGGATTTGTTGAAGGAACCATTTAATTCAAATTTGATTAGTCAGGAAAAAGATGCCAGTGGTACTCTTCAACTTCAGTTGGAGTTAGAAGAAATATTGTGGGCTCAGAAGTCTTAAGTGGCTTAAAGAGGGAGACAAATGTACTTCTTTTTTCCATAATTTGGTGAAGCAGAGAAGATGTCACAATGCCATTATAGCCTTGGAGAATACCAAAGGGGAAAAATCTAATGACCCTAAAGTTATTAAGGAATGGTTAGTAGAATATTATACTGACCTATACAATGATGTGGGAGGGGTGAATGAGGAAATTCTGGAGCCTAGAAAAAGGCTAACTCAAACTGAAGGTATTGGTCTTGAACACGTTATATCTGTTAAGGAAATTAAAGCTGTGGTTATGCAGTTTAGTCCTGATAAAGCCCCAGGCCCTGATGGCTTTCCAGCTAGATTTTTTCAAAAATACTGGGGGATTGTAGGTCCAGAGGTGGTGAATGGTGTTGCTTATTTTTTCTCTACAAGCATGTTACCTAAAGGAGTGAATTCTACTTTCCTTACTCTTATATGTAAGAGTAATCATGGGGATAAGATCAGCAATTATAGACCCATTGCGTTATGTAATATCATATACAAGATTATATCCAAAATTTTGGCTAATAGGCTCAGTAGTGTTCTTCCAAATTTGATTGGGCCTGAGCAGTCTGCATTTATTAAAGGTAGGAGATTGCATGATAATTTTTGGTTGATATCTGATTTAGTAAAAAATTTTGGTAGGAAAAATGGTGATCCAACTGTTGCTCTGAAAATTGATCTTAAAAAGGCTTATGATTCAGTGGATTGGGGGTTTCTACAGAAGGTTTTATTGAGTTTTGGGTTCAGTGAGAAGTGGATTAGTTGGGTTATGGAGTGCACCTCTATAGCCAATTTTTCTATTCTTTGTAATGGAGTGCCTACAGGTTTTTTCTCAGCTTCTAAAGGCCTAAGACAAGGATGTCCCTTGTCTCCTCTCTTGTTTGCTTTTGTCACTGAATATTTCTCCAACCTTATTGTTAAAGCTATTGAGGAGGGGAAGATTAAGAGGTGTAAGGCTGTTCTCAAGACAGGGCTGAGCATTTCCCATGCTTTTTATACTGATGACTTGGTTATGGTGGTAAAGGCTGATGTGAGTACTTTAAAAGGTGTTGAAGAAGTCCTTCAGAGATTTAAGATTAGTGCTGGGCTTCAGGTTAATAAAGATAAAAGATCCATCATTTTTTCAAAAGCAGTGAGAGGAAGAAAAAGATTAGCAAGAATTTTGAATTTTCAAGTTGAATCTTTCCCTTTCAGGTATCTTGGATTACCTTTATCTAATAATTTACTTAGGGGTGGTGATTACAGAATGCTTCTTAACAAGGTTGATGCTCGATTAAGACATTGGAATACTATTAATCTCTCTTTAGCAGGAAGGTTAGAGCTTATCAAGTCAATTTTGTTTTCATATCTGTATCATTGGTTGTTTGGCTTCAAAATTCCTTAGGAAGTTAAGAATATGCTGGAAAGAAAGTTTAAGAAATTTTTGTGGAGTGGTAAACAAGAGATTAGAAAGATGTCTCAATTGAAGTGGAGTAAAGTCACATTACCTGCTATGGAGGGTGGTTTCAATATTAGGAGAATTATTGACATTGATTGTGCAACAAAAATGAATATGTGTTGGGACTTTATTCAGAAAAAGGATAAATTATGGATTCAATGGTTGCAAGCAATTTATTTAAATAAAATTGTGTTTTGGTTGGTGGTTCCAAAAGTTACAGATTCTGATGTTTGGAAACATATTCTGGGGGTGAGGGATTTGATCCTTGACAAGGTCTTATTTCAGGTTGGTGATGGTAATCATTTTAAACTTCTTACTGATCCCTGGTGTAATGATCACTATCTCATTCAGCTGTTTGGAGCTGTTAGGTTCAGAGGGTTAGATAGGCAGACAGAACTAGCTTCTAGTATTGATCATGGAGTATGGAGTCTTACTAAAAATCTTGAATTTACTCAGAATGTCATTCAGCAAGTGATTATTCATGAGGGTTCCGATCAAATTAAGTGGAAAGATGGGCAGTTCACTCTGAAAGCAGCATGGAATAGTTGCAGATCTTCAACTCAAATTGTGAAATGGGCAGGTTTAATTTGGAAAAAATGCAGGCCCAGAGTCACTATATGTGATGTTATTATTCTTCACAATAAAAATTTGTCATTTGTGAATCTACAAAAAAGAGGGTTACAATTGGTCTCGGTCTGTCATACTTGTTATGCAGGAGTTGATACTAATGATCATTTATTTGCCTCTTGTGATTTTGCTTCAAGGATTTGGAGAGAGATTTTTGAGCTGGTTCACATACAATGTCCTAGATTTTTGTCTTTGAATCAAGTGGTGGAGTGGTTTACTCAGTATACTGTGATAAAATCTACCATAGCCAACATTCTAAGTGGTATTTTTGCAGTAACAATTTAGAAAATTTGGTCTATAAGGAATAATGTGTTACATAGTGGGATTCAAGATCAACCTACTCAGGTGGTGCAAGCTATTATTTGGGATGTAATTACATACTCGAATATTAGTCTTGCTGATTTTTTGATAATTTTTAGAGGTTGAACTTTTCCTTTGAAGTGGAGGTTATATGGTAGTAACGCCCAGGTTCAGGTTCTGAAGTTCATGATTTTGTTCAATCTTGGGGAAGCAATTTGAGAGTTTGTATACACATGCATTGCTGACAAAATTGTATTTCTCTCAAGGTTAGTTTTCTGATTGATTACAGTTTGACAGCAGATTTTTGAGGATTGTTTGTGTTGTGTTGTCAGATTGGTTTTTCTTGGAATTCAAGTCTCTTTGATAGAATGGTTGAGGCTTGGAGAAGCAGATGTTTTGCTTCTCTCCTTGGGGTTCTTGGCTTGATCAAGTTGTGTAGGGCAGTTTATGCTCTTGTGTTTATTTGTTTTTGCTTTGTTTCTCTAAGGTTTTGTTGTTTTTTGTTTTTTACGGTATTTGGACTTAGTTCAATTCCTTATCTGTATTGGAGTTTATTCTCCTATTGTAATTGTACTATTTTGAAATATCTATATAAAAAAATCCCATTCAGGAAAAATAATAATCTAATCAAGTAAAAATCATACAAATAATTATTTAATTAACACACCATTTAAAATAAACAAATAATTCAAATAACTACATAAGCAAAGAGCTAATTAATCAAGTAAAAAAATAGTCAAGAAATCAAATAAATAATAAAAAATACAATTAAAACGATTAATAAAATACCGAGAATATCCTTTTAAAATTAGGGGTATTAAATTCTTCCCCCCTAACAAAAGGAATTCTATCCTTAGAATTCGCCCTCACCTTAGTCCATAATTTCTAGAAACTGTGAGCGAATGACATCCTCCCGTTCCCAAGTGGACTTAGTGTCATTATGATGGCTCTACTGGACATGCACTAATGGTATGACCTTATTGCGAAGAATTTGATCCCGACGATTGGTGTGTGTGTCGTCACATGTGCACTAAAGTTGCAATAAAAGTATGCCAAGTTTAAATTTATAAAGAGCCACTATTACCTCTAACTACTAATATAGCTAGGGTGAGTAGGGATCGTCCCTAGGGATTGGGGGTAATGCTAATATGGAAACAAGGTTAGATTAGTAGGTCGAGTGATCAAAAGGTGTTTTGATTTGTTAATTAAACTTCAATGTAAATAAAATCAATACAAGGCAATTAAAATAAATAAAGGGTAGAGAACAAGAGAGAGAGGTCTTGGGATCTAGAGGTCACCACTAAACATCACCATTCTAGACACTCAATGTGTAATGAATGAGGGGAAACATGTGTTGCAATACAAAGAGGTGTGATTGGTTGAATCAACAAGCATTGATGACTAATTAAGTATATAATGTCTAGACAACCTAGTGAATCACACAATATATCAAACTAAGCTATTATTCCTTCCTTTAAGCTCACAATCAATACACTAACAAGTTAGAGAATAATACTACTTGCATTCATAAGTATGGAACATCAAATAACAAGCATGGATTGTCCTCACATCTAAGAAAGTAAAGCAACTACACTACATCTAAGTTAAGGACATGAAAATTAAACTAATTAAACTAAGATAGAGGCATAATCCATCAAGAAATGAGTATGAACCATCAAACAAACCACAAGAGTATTCTATTCCTTGACAATCTCTATATTCATAGTATCAATACACATAGACATGCATCAATATCATAAAACCAAGAGATAAACACATAAACATCTATTCTAGCATACATAGACATATGGATAGAATGAAATGATCAATTGGAAGTATTAATCAACATAAATCATTGTAAAAACAAGATTCATATATAAATCAAATGTCAAGACAAGATTACAACACAAATCCCTTCAAAATACAAAACATTAAGGTCTAGAAGGCATGCTTAGGGCTAACTCTAGCCCCAAGAAGATGTTTAGCCACTCATTGATGTAGTCATCCAACCCTCAAGGGCCATCTCCATGGTAGGAATGATCTTATTCTTGAAACCCTAGAAGAATAGAAGAACTCCCAAAATAGTGTATGTCTCTCTAAGCTCTAGCCTCCTCTCCAAGATATGTGATATGAGATATATTGAGATATCTAAGTTATGATGAGATATTGAGATATCTAAGTTATGATGAGATATTGAGAGATCTAAGTTATAATGTAAAAATGGCTCAAAATCCTTATATAGGTAGCTCAAGTGTCACACCCAATGGTCAGGTCTCGTGCACTAGGGTCACTTCAATGATTGCACCACGAGCCATCTTTTAATGAGCTAGACTCTGTTTTATTTCGGACTTGAGGAGGTTCGATCGATCGAATTCAGATGAGATCGATCGAACTCTGGTCAGATCCATCGAAGTAAGGCCAGATTGATCAATCATTGGCGGTGCCTTTTTGGAATAAGACAAATTTGAGATATTTTTAGGATATTTTGGGAAAAAAGACAAAAGAGGTAAGTGAGGATAAGATCAAGGAAGTTTGATCGATCTGAAGAAAGTTGGATCGATCGAAGATGGAAATTCTTGAGGATAAGGACAAGGGGTTTGATCCATCTCGGTGAGGTGGGATCGATCAATGTGAGATCGATCGAAAGTATTCCTGATCGATCGAAGTTTGCTGATTTCCCCCACTTTGCTTCCATTTTGCTCCATTCTTCTATTCAGCTTGAGATTACTTCTTTTATACTCTAATTTGGCTGAATTGACTTATTTTGGGGATTTGCACCTGAAAAGGGCAATAATATGAAATTAATCTAAAACGGGAAAATAAGATAGATAAATGTCCTATAATACTCGAGCTTAAGGGGTTTAAATACGTACTTTTCAGCACTCATCAACGGTTTACAATACGACACGGTGGTTCCACATATGTTGTATCTGGCTGCAACTCAATCTCACCAACATCGATGTGCTGATAATGATCCTCATCTCGTAGAAATTTCTACAAAAGAGAAACATGGAACATATTATAGACACGATGTAAATGATCTAGAAGTGCTAATCGATAAGCTACAGTTCCAACTCGATCCGTAACCATGAATGGACCGACAAATCGCGGTGACAACTTTTCTTTCCTCCCAAAGTGCATTACTCCCTTTATAGGAGACACTTTGAGTAAAACTTGATCCCCAACTTGAAATTCCAATGCACGAGTATAATGATCTACATAACTCTTCTGCCTACTCTTAGCAGTGCGCATACGATCCTTAATAAGAGCGATCTTCTCAGAGGTATCCTTAATGAATTCAAGACCCAAGAATCTACTCTTTCCAACCTCTATCTAACAAATAGGAGATCTACATGGTCGATCATATAATGCCTCAAACGGTGCCATACCAATTGTCTTCTAAAAGCTATTGTTATAAGCAAACTCCACAAGTGGCAAATAATCCTCCCAGTGGCCTTTAAAGTCAAGGACACAAGAACAAAACATATCCTCTATGATTTGATTAACTTTCTCGATTTTTCCATCAGTCTGAAGATGATAAGCAGTACTAAGATACAACTCTGTACCCAAAGCCTGCTGAAAACTCTTCCAAAATCCTAACACAAAGCTCGAATCCCTTTTTGATATAATAGATAACGGAATGCCATGTAACTTCACAATCTCTGAAATGTAAAGTCTCGCGAACTGTTCCGAAGTGAAATCAGTGCGAATAGGTAAGAAATGAGCTGATTTGGTTAACTTATCAACAATGACCTAAATGGAATTGTGATCCTTAAATGAATTAGGAAATCCCTCCACAAAATCCATAGAAATGCTCTCCCACTCCACTCTGGTATAGGTAGTGGCTGTAGAGATCCTGGCAGCCTCTGATGATCAATCTTGAACATCTGGCAAGTACTACACTGAAAGACAAAGATAACAATGTCCTTCTTCATACCTGCCCACCAAAATTGCCGCTTCATATCCTGATACATTTTGTCTCATCCTAGATGAATAGAAAACTCAGAATGGTGAGTTTCAGTCATCACATCCTTCTTCAACTCATTAGCAAAAGGTACTACTAACTACCCCTTGTATCTTAAGCCTCTATCAGTCCCAACATGATCGAATGGAACATCCCCAGAAGTTATCTTTCCAACCTTGTCGATGCACTGCTGATCTGTGAGTTGTGCCTTCAATACCTTATGAAAGATCGAAGGTGTAACTACCATGCACGCCGTAAAAACATCAGACAACTTATCAACTGTCTTCAAAATATTCCATTAAGTAGTGAATAATACAGAAAGACTCGCAAAGGGTCAGCGACTGAGTGCATTTGCCACCACATTCCCTTTCCCTGGATGGTACTGTATAGAGAAATGATAGTCTTTCACAAATTCTAACCACCTTCGCTGTCTCATACGTAGCTTACACTGAGTAAACAAATACTGTAGACTCTTATGATTACTAAACAATCTGAAGGACTCTCCCAACAGATAATGCCTCCAAATACGTAAGGCAAATACCACAGCTGCCAACTCCAAATCGTGCGTCGGATAGTTAAGCTCATGAGGCTTAAGCTTACGAGATCCATACGAAATTGGTCGTTCTTCCTACATCAAAACACACCCAAGACCTTGCAAAGAAGCATCTATGTAGATAAGATACTCTATCCCGCTCTGTGGCGTAGACAGAACCAGCGCATAATTCAATTTGCTTTTTAGCTCATCAAAAGCTTTCTAATAGTGTTCATCCCATACGAACTGTATACCCTTCTTAGTCAGATGAGTGAGTGGTCTTGCTATCTTTGAGAACCCCTGAATGAACCTAAGATAGTATCCTACCAATCTGAGGAAACTCCAAATCTTTGTAGGTGAAGTAGGCTGTTCCCACTCTACCACTGCAGAAACCTTGGCTGGATCTACCGTTATTCCTCTTTATGACACCACGTGACCTAGAAACTTCATTTCTCGCTGCCAAAATTCACACTTCTCAAACTTGGCATATAACTGGTGTTCATGAAGGGTCAGTAACACTTTGCGAAGATGTCTAACATGATTGTTCTTTGTCTTAGAATAGATCAAAATATTATCTATAAAGACGATGACAAACTGATCTAAGTAAGCTCTGAAGACTCTGTTCATTAAATCTATGAAGACTACTGGTGCGTTAGTCAATCCGAAAGGCATGACACGGAACTTATAAGAACCGTATCTAGTGAAAAACGCTGTCCTAGAAACATCCTGCTCCCTAACCCGAAGTTGATGATATCCAAAACGTAAATCAATCTTAGAGAAATAAGTAGCTCCCTTCAATTGATCAAAAAAATCATCAATTCTAGGCAAAGGGTACTTGTTACGAATAGTAACTTTGTTCAACTCCCTATAATCTATACATAGGCAAAGTGAACCATCCTTCTTCTTCACAACAAAACTGGTGCCCCCCAG